GTCACAGTAGTATTCACCGCATAAGACAGATGAAATGAGATAAGGAGTTTCTGGGACACAGAAGTGCCTAATCAATACCAGTAAAAAAATTTCTTTTTAATTTTAATATATACCCACAGTCCTAGCTCTGGGAAGCATACAGGATCACAGGTTCACTTCCCCCCGCAACCAAAAGAAACAGCCCTAAGTGAGGAAGAGGCAATCAGATGCATTCTTCTCCCTTGGGGAATCAATGAAAAGCACTGGCTTTTAAATCTGGATTTTTTGGACTTTTCTCAGTCTTCATATCTCTTGTCTTTCTCCTCCAATCTACGTAAACCCTTTCCTGAACCCCCGTGGGTCTGGCTTAGTCACAGGCACTGCTGGCCTCAGGAGACAGCTCTTAACCCTGCTCTACAAAAGCTCTGTGCCAACGAGCCCTGGGGGGCCTCATTTCCACATCAACAGAGCAGACCGAGAGTGCAGGGGAAGACTGGGTCATCTCTCTATCCTCTTCCAGCTCTAAAAATTCACAACTAAGTAACTAGTAACTATTATTAGTATGTTCAAGTCAAACACGACCTAAACTCTACTAGAAAGTACATCTCAACCATATTTGGCATAACACACGAACACGGGCACGAGCAGAGCCGACCCTCAAAGCTGAATGAATTCCTCCTGGTCTTAGTCCTAGAGGGCAACACAGAAGCACCCAGAGGCATTTATTCAGCTCTCTCATCACGAGAGACCCCGTTCTTATTAAATCAGAACTTTCTCCTGGGACCACCATTTAATGGGGTCTCCCTGGTGGCTCAGCAGTGAAGAATCCACCTGCAATGTGGGAGACCCAGGTTCGATCCCTGGGTCGAAGATCCCCTGGAGAAGGGGATGGCTACCCACTCCAACATTCTTGCCTGGAGAATTCCATGGACTGAGGAGCCTGGCGGGCTACAGTCCATGAGGTCGCAGAGAGTTGGACACGACTGAGCACACACACACAATGGTGCTTTATTTATTAATACAAGCTGCCAGGTACAGCGGAGAAAGCAATGGCACCCCACTCCAGTACTCCTGCCCAGAAAATCCCACGGATGGAGGAGCCTGGTAAGCTGTGGTCCATGGGGTCACAAAGAGTCGGACACGACTGAGCGACTTCACTTTCACTTTTCACTTTCATGCATTGGAGAAGGCCAATGGCAACCCACTCCAGTGTTCTTGCCTGGAGAATCCCAGGGACGGGGGAGCCTGGTGGGCTGCCGTCTATGGGGTCGCACAGAGTCAGACACGACTCAAGCGACTTAGCAGCAGCAGCAGCCAGGTACAGAGAGTAAGCATTTCTAACCACTAAGAATTACCAAACCAGAGCTTACAATCTCAAGGTAACTGAGCACAGAACTGACAGTCTAAAGGAAATCAGTTGTCCTTCGGTACCAGAGAAGGTAACTGACCAGAAAACCATTTTAAAACCATACTACCTTCCTGGCCTCTTTGTGCTACCTAACATCTCCTATCACACTGTCCGTCTCTGTTGAGGGAAAGGGGTCTAATTTAAAAAGAAGTTACAGGTTGACAATTGACATGGAAAGACATTTACAATATACATTTCTGGTGAAATGGGCAGATTACACAATAATGTGGTCAGCAATATTAATCCCATTTTGGTAAAAAAAAATATATATATATACACACATATATGCTCTACACACACATCTGACAGGATACACTCCAAGTCACTAACAAGCCTGCGATTTTTCTGTTAAAAAAAAAAAAAAAAAAAAGTTTGCTTATCTACATTGTCTTATTTTTCTACAATGACCACTAATGGTTTCTGAAATCACAATAATTCAAACAGGGGTTTTCTGTATAAGAAAAGAAGAGCCGGCACCCAAACGATAAGCGAACACCTCGCTGAAGCAGAGCTCGGCATCCAGGGTTCCACTGCACAGAGGAGCCTTGTGCCCGGGCCTGTGCTGGGGTGAAGGCGCTGACATGTTTTTCAGGTACCGGCCACTGGGTACCACCAAGACCGGCCCAGCTCTCTCCCTCCTGTTCACCTCAGCTTCCAAACCCATCGACTTCCCATTTACCAAATTTATTGATGTGCCACCCTCTGGACAGAGTTTACAAAACATGACCAAAGTTCCTAAATTACAGTTCAAGATTTTAACTTGCACGTTCACTGATTTAGGAGCATCAGTGACAGAAGAGCCAAGTTACCGTGGCAGAGATCCAACGTTAACAGAGGAAGTACACTCCTATCCCTCATTTTAGGCCGTCCAATGCCAACCCTTTCTGAACACAAGAGGAAAAATAAAAAGTCATTATGTGTAAAAGCAACTTCTTCAAATACTTTTACCCAGTTAAGCCTTCTGCTTTTGATAGAAAGTGCTAACTCTTGATAGCCTCTTTGGCATACAGAACACAGATCCTGTTAAATCTTACAAGATCTGATCAGTCAAGAACAAGTTCATCACTGGGCACAGGTACCGTAAGGCACCTTACATCCTGAAGGTTGTTCTGGCGGCTTAGTGATCTACCAGCAAAAAGAGGTGTGAAAAATTGCAACCTCCCAGCTAACAAAAGCAAAGTGCGTACAAGGAAGTGATGGGAAAACACACATGAAAAGCACTAAAGATGAACTTGATGTGAGGGAAAGGAATAAGAACAGCAGAATGACAGTCTTCAGAAGGACTCCTATTAAGTGAGCCAATAGAAGTTTATCAGACCACAGCTCTGAGAGACACAAAGCTACACCTCAAAACCGCTCACATGTATTTCCGATAATGTAATGGCTAGCAAAAGCTAGATCATACTTAATGACAAATTGCATCCTCACTCCTTCATTCCCTTATGTTCTAAAACTCATAGACAATTTAGGTCAGAGCCTTATCCTCTGTCACAAAATATTTTTAGAGACAGATTTCAACAAAGAAGCATAGTGTCTACATAGCATTATTTTACTTCGAGGAAAGAGAACTGCCAACTATAAGGATCTGAAAAATGCGACCACTTCAGGCTTATTTTGGGGTTGACCCACTCCCCTTCCCTAATTATCCCTCAAAGGAAACATATCAGGAGCTGTGGGCAAAGAGGGAAAATATGCCTAATTACAACATGTGTGCTTGGTGGATAAAAAATTGGAACATTCTTGAGCTCTGGCCACATTTCAGAAGACTTTCCACTCGCAGTCGAAACTCACTAAAGAGGAAAGGTTAAAAGATCAGTTGCATTTCAACCCAGGCTCAATCAAAAAGACACAAAGAGAAACTGACGACATTACTTACCCTAGATACTATAAGGGGAGCCTGCTGAATATTCAAGATGACCCTGACTCCTTATCAAGCATTTACAGAGGAAGTGGTTTTTATTTTAAAATTAGGACTAAAAATAAGAAGAGGACTCTGTACTGGAAAAAAAGACACACATTTGAATTTAAAGATACACATGCAAAGGCTTCAGGCCGCTGGTGGTTTTATAGAAGCACTCCCTGATGAAGACCTCTCCTCACAGCCCACCTGCCTCTGCTTTACAGAGGTGGGAAGACAGCACAAGAATTTGCCAATGCTTCTGCACCCGTTGCTGATTAAAGTGCTGAGAGAGGAGCAGGGGAAAAAAAGCCCTTCAGAAATCAAAAATGAAAATGCATCTCATTGGGCATTTGGATCAGGAGCTCCTCCTGGCCTACAAGTTGCAGCCTAACTTCCTCTCCCAGGACTCAGGGATCCCCCTCCCTCACTGGATTCTGGACTGGTTTCCTTGATGGCCCTCCAATACTCCAGACTCTACCCTCAGATCCCAAGCATCCTTCAAGTCTTTGCTCAAATGCCCCATGTGCAAGGAGGAAAAGGGGGTCTTTTCTTTTCCCACCATACTTTTCAACTTCTAATATACCATATAATTGAGGGAAAAAAAAAAGAGTGTTAGTCACTCAGTCATGTTCAATTCTTTGCGACCCTAAGTACTGTAGCCCTCCAGGCTCCTCTGTCCATCGAGATTCTCCAGGCAAGAATACTGGAGTTGGTTACCATGCCTTCCTCCAGGGCATATTCCTGACCCAGGAATCATAGCCATGTCTCCTGTGTCTCCTGCATTGGCAGACAGGTTCTTTGCCCCATGGGCCATCAGTCAATCCCTATTCTTATCCCACCTGCAAATTCTAATATACCATATAATTACTTATATCTATTTTATCGATTGTTTACTCCTCTCTCCCTCAGATAAGCTCCCAGAGAACAGGGATATTTGTTCTGTTTACTGGTGTATACCCCAAGCAGTTTAGAACAGTGTTTGGCCCTGAGTAGGAGCTCAAAAAATATCTTTTGAATGAATGAATGAACTTGACAGTAAAACTCCAGGAGGAAAGCAAAAAGGAGGTGGAAAGGCTGATGGTGAGGGACTGAAATGAAAGAGGGAAGAAGCGACAGAGTGGAATTTACAACGACGAGATAGACACTGATTGAGGCCGGGACCGACCCCACTTTCTCCCAGCAGTGCTGATGGGAAGCGAGAAGCAGGGCACGGGATCCCGCCAGCGGCATCAGATAGCACTCTTAGAAGCAAGCAGCTGAGATAAGCAAGCTCTACAGACTCACTGAGAAATTTCGAGAGCAGGGCAGACCCACCCGCCGGGATTGCAAGCTCTACGCAGGTCCCGGGAGTTGGGGGTGGGGGGGAGGTGGTCAGTCCCCCCAGCCCTTCCCCTCCCGTGGTGCCCCAAACTCCAGCTCCCCTCTACTGTAGCCAGGAGCCAGCCGGGCCGCAGGACCTTCCCGGCCAGGGCCACTTCACCTGGTATCCCGGTGAGGCGGGCCCTGCACTCGAGCACCTGCCCGCCCGCGTCAGGGAATCCCACCCGGCCCGCCCGGATTCCCAGCGCGCCTCTGGGCCCTCATCCCGCTCAGCTCCCCTCCGGCACACGGGCAGGAAGCGCTCGCGGCCCTCCGGAGGCAGGGAAGGGGCTCCCGGCGCCCCCCGCCCCGGCCACTCCAGCACGACGCCCCGCCGGCGCGACGCCCCCTCACCTCGGGGCGCACGTACGACACGAAGGAGGGCTTCGGCGCCTTGGTGCCGCCGCCACCGCCGACTACCCCTTTCCCCAGCATACCGCCTCCCTGGGTAGCAGCAACGCGCGGGAGCAGAGGCGGCCGCTCGCAGCGGCCACCAACACTGGCGGCCGGGGCTCCGCCCATCCCCAGGGCCGCGGCGGCCGCGGCGCCGCCCGTATCCGGCTCCGCCGCCGACAGCGCTCGCCCCGCCCAGGCCCCCCGGGGCCCCACCTCCTCCACTCTTGGGCCTCAGCAGCAGGGAACCCGCCGCCGGAGGCCACTCCCCCTCCGTTAGCGACAGTCGGATCTGATTGGCGGATAGTCGCCTTCAGATAGGCTCCGTTCCACCCTCTTGCTGCCAAGCCCGCCCCCATGCGTTCTCTGATTGGCCAAAATGCTCTGCCGGCCGCGCCCACACCAAGCCCCTCCTTGAATGAACCTGGAGGGATGTTTTCTCTGACCAATCCAGAGCGTCCTCTCCAGATTCCCCGGCGATTGGTTAGCAAGAATGTCGCCGTCGCCCAGCGATCCTGGGGTCACCAAGTTGTGAGCGTTGGTTCACTGCAGTTCTCTTTCCTCGCCCTTTTGGAACAAAACTTCCGAAAGCGTATTGTATGGAACCTCACCGAATGAGTTTCAATCCCCATCAGTGATGTTCAGGCTTACTATTTTGAAAAGTGAAAGTAGCTCAGTTGTGACCGACTCTTTGCGACCCCATGGACTATACAGCCCATGGAATTCTCCAGGCCAGAATACTGGAGTGGGTAGCCTTTTTCCCTTCTCCAGGGCATCTCCCAACCCAGGGATTGAACCCAGGTCTCCCTCATTGCAGGCGGATTCTTTACCAGCTGAGCCACAAGGGGAAGCCTTACTATTTTAAGTGTAGACAAAAATGAAACAAATCAAGTGCTAGGCACTGAGGAATAGGTTTGAATGTTTGATCATAAAAGGCCTTGTAGACCTCTTCTTTCCAAACTTTTTGTTTTTTTATCTGTGGTTCTAACCATATAAAAGCCCTTAAGAGATTTCTTTTATTCACCCTCCTGAATTATGAATGTGTTAGTCACTTAGTTGTGTCTGACTCTTTGTGACACGACTGTCACAAAGAGGAGCCTGCCGGGCTCCTCTGTCCGTGGGCTTCTCCAGGCAAGAATACTGGAGTGGATTGCCATTTCTTTCTCCAGGGCATCTTCCTAACCCAGGGATTGAACCTGGGTCTCCTGCACTAAAGGCTGATTCTTTACCATCTGAGCTATAGGGAAGTCCTAAGTTATCAATAAAATCCTCACTGTTAGTGTAGATTGCAAAGAAAATTCATTTAAATTAGACATTTGGCTCCAAGCATTGTGTTAGACACAGGTGAATAAAACAGGACCCAACTCTCAAAAAATTCAGTCTACTGGAAAAAACTAATAATAAATATTTGCAGTTACCTTTGTTGGTGTCAGACACTGGTAAGCACTAGTCTCATCAATAATTAATGCTGTTTCCCCTCTTTATCTCCATGACTGCCCCACCACCAGTATCAAAGCCACTCAAAGTAAACATAAAATCTAAGCGAAAACACACGGAACCTTCTCCAGAATAGATCACATCCTGGGCCATAAATCTAGTCTTGGTAAATTCAAAAAGATTGAAATCATTCCAGTCATCTTTTCTGACCACAGTGCAGTAAGATTAGATCTTAATTACAGGAAAAAAATTATTAAAAATTCAAACATATGGAGGCTAAACCACACGCTTCTGAATAACCAACAAATCATAGAAGAAATCAAAATATGCATAGAAATGAATGAAAATGAAAACACAACAACCCAAAACCTATGGGACACTGTAAAGGCAGTGCTAAGGGGAAGATTCATAGCATTACAGGCCTACCTCAAGAAACAAGAAAAAAGTCAAATAAATAACCTAACTCTACACCTAAAGCAACTAGAGGAGGAAGAAATGAAGAACCCCAGGGTTAGTAGAAGGAAAGAAATCTTAAAAATTAGGGCAGAAATAAATGCAAAAGAAACTAAAGAGATCATAGCAAAAATTAACAAAGCTAAAAGCTGGTTTTTTGAAAAAATAAACAAAATTGACAAACCATTAGCAAGACTCATTAAGAAACAAAGGGAGAAGAACCAAATTAACAAAATTAGAAACGAAAATGGAGAGATCACAACAGACAACACCGAAATACAAAGGATCATAAGAGACTACTACCAGCAGCTCTATGCCAATAAAATGGACAACTTGGAAGAAATGGACAAGTTCTTAGAGAAGTATAACTTTCCAAAACTGAACCAGGAAGAAATAGAAGATCTTAACAAAACCATCACAAGCAAGGAAATCGAAACTGTAATCAGAAATCTTCCAGCAAACAAAAGCCCAGGACCAGATGGCTTCACAGCTGAATTCTACCAAAAATTTAGAGAAGAGCTAACACCTATCTTACTCAAACTCTTCCAGAAAATTGCAGAAGAAGGTAAACTTCCAAACTCATTCTATGAGGCCACCATCACCCTAATTCCAAAACCAGACAAAGATGCCACAAAAAAAGAAAACTACAGGCCAATATCACTGATGAACATAGATGCAAAAATCCTTAACAAAATTCTAGCAAACAGAATCCAACAACATATTAAAAAAATCATACATCATGACCAAGTGGGCTTTATCCCAGGAATGCAAGGATTCTTTAATATCCGCAAATCAATCAATGTAATACACCACATTAACAAATTGAAAGATAAAAACCATATGATTATCTCAATAGATGCAGAAAAAGCCTTTGATAAAATTCAACATCCATTTATGATTAAAACTCTCCAGAAAGCAGGAATAGAAGGAACATACCTCAACATAATAAAAGCTATATATGACAAACCCACAGCAAGCATCACCCTCAATGGTGAAAAATTGAAAGCATTTCCCCTGAAATCAGGAACAAGACAAGGGTGCCCACTCTCACCACTACTATTCAACATAGTTTTGGAAGTTTTGGCCACACCAATCAGAGCAGAAAAAGAAGTAAAAGGAATCCAGATAGGAAAAGAAGAAGTGAAACTCTCGCTGTTTGCAGATGACATGATCCTCTACATAGAAAATCCTAGACTCTACCAGAAAATTACTAGAGATAATCAACGAATACAGTAAAGTTGCAGGATATAAAATTAACACACAGAAATCTCTTGCATTCCTATACACTAACAATGAGAAAACAGAAAGAGAAATTAAGGAAACAATACCATTCACCATTGCAACAAAAAGAATAAAATACTTAGGAGTATATCTACCTAAAGAAACAAAAGACCTATACATAGAAAACTATAAAACACTGATGAAAGAAATCAAAGAGGACACAAACAGATGGAGAAATATACCGTGTTCATGGATTGGAAGAATCAATATTGTCAAAATGGCTATACTACCCAAAGCAATCTACAGATTCAATGCAATCCCTATCAAACTACCAACGGTATTTTTCACAGAACTAGAACGAATAATTTCACAATTTGTATGGAAATACAAAAAACCTCGAATAGCCAAAGTAATCCTGAGAAAGAAGAATGGAACTGGAGGAATCAATCTGCCTGACTTCAGACTATACTACAAAGCCACAGTCATCAAGACAGTATGGTACTGGCACAAAGACAGAAATATAGATCAATGGAACAGAATAGAAAGCCCAGAGATAAATCCACAAACCTATGGTCACCTTATCTTTGACAAAGGAGGCAAGGATATACAATGGAAAAAAGACAACCTCTTTAACAAGTGGTGCTGGGAAAACTGGTCAACCACCTGTAAAAGAATGAAACTAGAACACTTTCTAACACCATACACAAAAATAAACTCAAAATGGATTAAAGATCTAAATGTAAGACCAGAAACTATAAAACTCCTAGAGGAGAACATAGGCAAAACACTCTCCGACATAAATCACAGCAGGATCCTCTATGACCCACATCCCAGAATTTTAGAAATAAAAGCAAAAATAAACAATTGGGACCTAATGAAACTTAAAAGCTTTTGCACAACAAAGGAAACTATAAGCAAGGTGAAAAGACAGCCCTCAGATTGGGAGAAAATAATAGCAAACGAAGCAACAGACAAAGGATTAATCTCAAAAATATACAAGCAACTCCTCCAGCTCAACTCCAGAAAAATAAATGACCCAATCAAAAAATGGGCCAAAGAACTGAACAGACATTTCTCCAAGGAAGACATACAGATGGCTAACAAACACATGAAAAGATGCTCAACATCACTCATTATCAGAGAAATGCAAATCAAAACCACAATGAGGTACCATTACACACCAGTCAGGATGGCTGCTATCCAAAAGTCTACAAGCAATAAATGCTGGAGAGGGTGTGGAGAAAAGGGAACCCTCTTACACTGTTGGTGGGAATGCAAATTAGTACAGCCACTATGGAAAACTGTGTGGAGATTTCTTAAAAAGCTGGAAATAGAACTGCCATATGACCCAGCAATCCCACTTCTGGGCATACACACCGAGGAAACCAGATCTGAAAGAGACACGTGTACCCCAATGTTCATCGCAGCACTGTTTATAATAGCCAAGACATGGAAGCAACCTAGATGCCCATCAGCAGACGAATGGATGAGGAAGCTGTGGTACATATACACCATGGAATATTACTCAGCCATTAAAAAGAATTCATTTGAATCAGTTCTAATGAGATGGATGAAACTGGAGCCCATTATACAGAGCGAAGTAAGCCAGAAAGATAAAGACCATTACAGTATACTAACACATATATATGGAATTTAGAAAGATGGTAACGATAACCCTATGTGCAAAACAGAAAAAGAGACTCCGATGTATAGAACAGACTTGTGGACTCTGGGAGAAGGCGAGGGTGGGATGTTTCAAGAGAACAGCATCGAAACACGTATATTATCTAGGGTGAAACAGATCACCAGCCCAGGTTGGGTGCATGAGACAAGTGCTCGGGCCTGGTGCACTGGGAAGACCCAGAGGGATTGGGTGGAGAGGGAGGTGGGAGCGGGGACCGGGATGGGGAATACATGTAAATCCATGGCTA